CAAGATAAGCTGCATGATTGTTTGGTTTTAATAAGACTTCCAGGGATATTTCTGGCTTAATGTTTAAAGACAATCTCATGGTAATAATTTCAGGGGTTCATCTACTTCCTCAGCTGTGGATGGGAAGACACAGGAAATACAGTCAATATGTTGACATGGCTTTGCTCTTTGCTCCCTTCTATTGATGAACGTCAAAGACCACATAGCCTTCGGCATGGGTTGCACCTTAATGTAAAGAAAACACAAATCCTTACAACTGAACCAATAAATGACCCAAGTTAGGGTATTTTCAGCACCCTCATATGCATGTGAAAGTTGGGCAAGGGAAGTTGAACATAAGGAAGATTATAGAAGAATGGATGCATTTAAGTTATGGTGTTAGAGAAGAATATTAAAGGTACCATGGACTGTCAGAGAGCAAACAAATCTGTATTGGAAGTACAGTCAGAATGCTCTTTGGAAAATAGGATGGTCAGACTTCATCTTTCATACTTTGAACATATCATCAGAAGGGACCGTCCCTGAAGAAGGACATCATGCTTGTCACAGTGGAGGGAGAACGAAAAAGAGAGAGACTGTCAACAAAATGATCAGCACTGTGGTACCAACATTGGGCTCAAGCATAGCAGCAATTGTGAGGATGGTGGACCAGTGGTGTTTCATTCTGTTGTACATAGGGTCTTTATGAGTTGGAACTGATTCTATGGCACTTAACAATGACAGCAATTGTTTGGACTATAGTTTCAGGGGTTCATCTTCACTTCCATTATTCTGGAAGTCTGGAGTCCATGAAAATTTTTTAATCTGTTCTGAATTTTCCTCCTCTTTTGATCAGGATTTTTCTATGGAATCTTTGATCAAAATATTTAGTAATGGTAGCCAAGTGCTATCCAGGTCTGATCTCTTGGAAAAGGAAGCAGTTATTCATGGAGGCAGTTAGCTATATGTTCCAGATGCTTCTCCTATTCCTGCTCTCTGTTGTTACTGGTAAATAGAGACCAATTGTTGTGCCTTGTATAGCTGCTTAACAAGCTTTTAAGACCCAAGGCAATATTCATTGAATTAAGAAGTCGAACCAAAGCACTAAACATATCTTTAGGTCAGTGAATTGGAATTTCCCATGAAACTATGCCTCTAAACCTCAAAACTGAGTAACCAAATTCCTTGAGGTATTTGGATATACACAACAATCTCAGTAGTTATTTTTACCCCATTATTGCAAGCATATCTATCATAAAACTTTTGCCAGTTCAACTTTATATAGGCATACAATTCATTTACAGCCATTACAATAATTGGCTGTGCTACCCTACTTTTGATAACTAAAATGTTTTCATTATCATTACTTTCTCTACCCCTTCCCTGTTTACTACCCTGTTGTTATGTGCTTTCGCGTTGGTTCTCACACATAACAAGTTTGTATAGGTTTTCTGAGGAGTGGATGGTGAGTTTGAACTGGCAACCTTGTGGTTAAAAATTTAGTGCTCATCCTATAGTTCCATATCAGAAGTCTTAACACCAGGAGCTCTGGTAGCATAGTGGTTACGAATCGGGCTGTGAACCTTAAGGCTAGCAGTTTGAACTACCAGCCGCTCCGTGGGAGAAAGATGAGGCGTTCTGCTCCTGTAAAGATTTACAGCCTCGGAAACCCTGTACAGGGTTGCTATGGGTCGGAACCGACTCGACGGCACTTAACAACAACAACAACACCCCTGATAACTATTAATAAACTCTGGCCTCTGTACATTTGTCTTTTATATGAGTAAGTTCATACAACATTTGACCTTTTGTGATTGACTAATTTCATTCAGCATAATTTTTTCCAGCTCCAGCCATTTAGCCTACTAGCTGGATAGCATTCCAATGCATGATGGATGTTTAAGTTTTTGTCTACCTTTTGGCTATTATGAATAGTGCTGCACTTAACATTGATATCCAAGAGACTGTTTGAGTCTCTGTTTTCAATTTTTTGAGTATATGCATTCCTATAATTTTTAATCAAACAATTTTGCACGAGATAGGTATTGATAGATAAAACGTTCTTTGAAACAATTAGAAATTCACACGACTTTTATATTATGCATATTCTGAACAGTGAATATGATGGTCATAACCCAAGTTACCTTAATTTATTTTTCTTCTTTGCCTCTATTTTGTCACACATTGTTAAAAAATTGTGGTACTATGGTAATTGGCAGGCATTATATTGTAATAATGTCAACTTTCTTGCAGATGTTTAATATCAACATTTGGAAAGAGAAGTAATAGCCCCTCTTTTTTCCCTTTCTCTTGCCAGTGAAATTTGCAACAAATCTGTAGTCACTTTATTTCATGGAAACATCTTTTATGTAAGAAAAAAACTGTTTTAGACATTCAAGAGTAAATTTTTGATAAAATTGAGCAAGTTTTTGTAAAGGACTAACTTATTGCTGCTGTTGTTAAGTACCGTCAAGTTGGTTCTGACTCTAGTGATCCTGTATAGTGGTTCCAAAGAGCGGCTGGTGGGTTTGAACCATCAACCTTAAGATTAGCAGTCCAGTGCTTATCATACGATGTTACACCAGGACTACAAAATATTAACTTAAGGTCAAATGAAGAGAGCATGTATATGTGATTGTTGTCTCAGTGTTCTGTTTTCTATTTTTATTTCATGAGCCAAAGTTCTACAAACAATTTAAAGAAAATCACATCATTTCTAATTTCCCCCCATAATATATTGAATAATATTGAAGGGATACCATCCAAAAAACTCATTTCTTCTTTCCTTTTGGTAGCTGGTTTAGTATATCTGAGTTTGTAGAACAAATCAACAGACTTATCGCAGCTCCTGGAGTCCTGGTGTGGCGCTGTGGGAAAATGCATCAGACTGCAAAGCCATTTGAACTGCAAGGTCGGTGGTTCAAGCTCACCAGCTGCTCCTCGGAAACCCTATACAGGGTCGCTATGGTTCAGAACCTACTCGACGCACTTCACAACAACAATATCTCAGTTCCTGGGCTCTGCATGCTCCCCCTCTTCCTCTTCCTAAAAAGGCTGCTTCCACTGACCATAGAATGTTCCCTGTAAAATTGTTGCTCAGATTGTCTCACACCCCTCTCACTTTTGTAAATGTATAGAGCCATACATAATAGTGCCCTCTCTATTGAACTTTCTGTTGTTGGAGTACTTTGGGATCAAATTACTACCTTCACGGCATGCCAGAGTTCATGAGCATCATAAAATGGTGGTGAGTACATGAGGCCAACCATAACCTGTTTGAAATGATTTGAAAGTTTCTCCTTCAGGTCATCGATCAGGTTCTATGGAGAGAAAGGAAAAATAATTTTGTTAAGTCAGTTACCAATTATATCAAAGAAAAGGAACAATTGCAGAAAATCTAGTCACGTTTCCTTCTCCACACCACTCCTCATAACAAGAAGTCTGGATTGATTCATGTGTATATAAAGGGATTCCACCAGATTATAGACTTCACAATTTGGAAATGGTTGACTTAATGATAGTCTTTCTTCAAGGCCTATCTGTAACTGCTCTTATGACTTCATCATAAAAATGAACAGAAATTGAAATCTAAGATAATTTTAGTTGGGACTTAGTAGTTTTCTTATGTGGAATTAATAAACATTATTTCTTTAAAATAGTGATTTCATTTTATTTTATAGTTAATTTTATTAACTGCAATAGAATGTTTTAGCTGAGACTCTCTTGTAG